AAAAAAAAAAAAAAAAAAAAAAGAGTTTATACCAGTATAAGTCTGTAGAATTTAATCATAACAAACTGGTTTTTCAGAAGAGAGAATTTGAATGACTGGTTTACTTCCTAGGCTCTTTCCTCCTCCAAATATAGAATAGTTCTTTCTGTGTTCTGATGCGCTGTGCCGCAGAAGGCAGGGTAGAGGCAGCATCTGAATGAAGGGGAATGGGTGCTTCCTCCCCCCAGTCCTTGCCCAGAGTGTCCCAGAGCAGTAGATCTTAGCAGAATACAAGAAGTCCTGTTCCGGTAGCGGTCTGCTCCGTGGGTGGGAGGTTTTCCTGCTCTCTGTTTGCAGTTACACATGCTGTCATCTGCCTGTTTTCTCCTCCACAGCCTCCCTGGAACCTGGGCTCCCGAGGACACTGCGCTGGGACAGATGGAAAATGGAGACTGGGGCTATATGGTGAGGGTCTTGCAGTGCGCTGCAGGCTGGCGGGTTACTCTGTGTCCTTTCCCTTTTCACATTCTTGGCTGTAATATGTCTTATTGGACTAAAAGTATGTATTTGTGCAACTCCTCTTTCTTGTGGGAGCGATTTTTTTGTCTGTTAATTTGATGTTTTAATGGAAGCAGCCTCAGTCCCGACTCTTCACAGACTTTTTTTAATAATCCCTTCTTTGAGAGGTAGCACGATTTTCCACCCCTCACGTATGTTGTTCTAAGACCCTTCATGCATGCAGTGGTGGTACTAAAAGGGCCAGCAGGAGATGGGGTGGGGGTTTCCCTGTCCTGAGGGAGATCAGAGGTGGCGCAGGTGTCTCTTCTCCTACTTGCCCTTTTTGTGTGTGCCTGTCTTTCTCTATTTTTTGCTTTCTCTGGTCAGAAATATTTTACTTCTCTAGTACATGAAGATGATCTACTTTTTCTTAAATATAGTTTCTAAAATCAAAGGTATATTTTTAAAGAAGCTTGTTTCTCAGAATTAAAGGCCACATTGTGACACGTAAGTTACAACAGTGAATACACTGTCAGATCATGAAATGTTAAAGCTACCATTAGCCTTTGCCTATGAGATGCTTTTGTCTCAGGTGTGTTGACTGAACTTTTAATTTAACTTTTTTTAAATTTAGTATTTGAAACTTCTATTTCCATGAAGATTATGGATGCACAAATTTTTATTTTATTTTTAATTTTTTGTTTTTTGGTACCAGGGATCAAACTCGGGACCTTGCGCTTGCAAAGCAGGTGGCGGAACCACTGAGCTAAATCCCTGGCTCACAATTTTTTTTTCCATTAAGTTTATTGGTAAAGTAAGCAATACAGTTACATTCATCATTGGGATCTTGTACTTTTACATGATGTATCTTGGGTCTTATTTTTTCCCTATTCCCCTGTACAAATTTTTATTTTTAAAATAAAATTAATGGTTTGTTCTCGTATATTTTATTTATTTTTGTTTTTTGAGCGGGGGTCTCGCTGTGTAGCTCAGACTGGCCTAAACTCACTGTGTAGCCCAGGCTGGCCTCCAACTTTGCAGCTATCCTGCCTCAGCCTCTCAAGTGCTGGGATTACAGGTGTGTACCACCATGCCCAGCCTGTTCTCCTTTCCTGAGGGAGGAACTCAAAGAATATTAAAAGTAGGTATCTTTACATTTATCAGTTCATTTTTATTTTATCTTATGTTAAATTGAGTTAAGGAAACTGAAGGTCTTTTTCTAAATTAATTTTATTGGTACATTTAAGGTGTACAGTGTAATGACATTCATCATTGGAAATTTGCACCTTTACATAATCCATCTTGGTTTTTATATAAGGTCTTTTTTTTTTTTTAATCAGAAAAAAGAAAAAAAAACTTAACTGAATATATTTTAGCCTGGGTTTTTCCTTCCCATAATATGCCCTGCCCTGAAAACTTTGTATATACTGGGCTGAAGCTATGCTGTAGAAGTCATGCCCTCTATTCTTAGATCAGGCTTTATCTTATCTCAGAGCCTTTTTTTTTTTAAAGGATCAATCTTGGGACCTTGCGCTTGTGAGGCAGGCAGTAGGACCACTGAGCTACATTCCAGGCCTAGAATCTTTACTTTTACCTTTTATCTTTATGTTTTTCTATTGAAAATGAATGTTAGCTCCCTCATCTAGGTGGGCTTATCCCCAATGTAAAGCCACTTTCCTTTTTAGGATTGCCAAACACCACATAGCTTGTAGGTAAAGAGGGAGGTGGGTTGATTCCTTATGATGAATGTTATCATTATTTATATCTAAAATGTGCCAGTAAAATAAAAAGTGGGAAAAGGGGAATCTTGTGCTTTGCTTTACTTTTTTTGGCACCAGGGATCGAACTTGGGACTTTGCACTTGCAAGACAGGTGTGGTGTCACTGAGCTACATCCCCAGCTCTTTGCTTTGCTTGATAGGTCAAAGTTAAGATTTTTAAACTTTCATGACCAGTCATTTTTTAAAAATTCCAGATGACCGACCCAGTCACGTTAAATGTGGGTGGACACTTGTACACAACGTCTCTCACCACACTGACGCGCTACCCAGATTCCATGCTTGGAGCCATGTTCGGAGGGGACTTCCCCACGGCTCGAGACCCCCAAGGCAATTATTTCATCGATCGAGATGGACCTCTTTTCCGGTATGTGCTCAACTTCTTGAGAACTTCAGAGTTGACCTTACCCTTGGATTTTAAGGAATTTGATCTGCTGCGGAAAGAAGCAGATTTTTACCAGATTGAGCCCTTGATTCAGTGTCTCAACGACCCCAAACCTTTGTATCCTGTGGATACTTTTGAGGAGGTGGTGGAGCTCTCCAGTACTCGGAAGCTTTCGAAGTACTCCAACCCAGTGGCTGTCATCATAACCCAGTTAACCATCACCACCAAGGTCCACTCCCTACTAGAAGGCATCTCAAACTACTTCACCAAGTGGAACAAGCACATGATGGACACCAGAGACTGCCAGGTGTCCTTCACGTTTGGACCCTGTGATTATCACCAGGAAGTCTCTCTCCGGGTGCACCTGATGGAGTACATCACAAAGCAAGGCTTTGCCATCCGCAACACTCGAGTGCACCACATGAGCGAGCGGGCCAACGAGAACACAGTGGAGCACAACTGGACTTTCTGCAGGCTGGCGCGGAAGACCGACGACTGAGAACGGAAGAGACTGGTGTTTTGTTTTTCCCCGTCACAGGGCGGGCTCCTCTTTTGCTTTAATGTTTGTATTTATTTGAGAGCACTGAGGACCAGAAAGAAGTTCCATACTTCAGCAGACTTCCGTGTCTGTTCCCTTCTCCCCGAGTGTGCATGTGCCTGTTCAGAGTCTCCGGATACCTTTTTGATGAAGAAAAGTCATTATTGCATATCATCTACCCTCAACAGAGCTCTTTTTTTTTTTTTTTTTTTTTTTTTTTTT